CTCTCGCGCCGCCGCCGCCCGCCTACCCGTGCGGGCCGGGCTTCGGGGACAAGTTCCCGCTGGATGAGGCGGACCCGCGGAACAGCAGCATCGCGGCGCTGCGCCTGAAGGCCAAGGAGCACATCCAGGCCATCGGGAAGCCGTGGCAGACCCTCTAGGGGCACCGGGGACCAAATCGAGCCAGACGACCCTTCCGGGAGCGGACCCCGAGCCACACGCGCGCGTCCCTTCTCCCCGGGTCCCCCCACTCGGCCACTTCTTCCCTGTGCCTCCTGAAGCTACAGCCAGGCTTGGGTGTTGGACACGCGTCTGTCTACTCCTGACTCACCGGGGAAGACTGACCCTCATGCCCGCCAAAACCCCCTGGCCTCCCGCAGCCCCCACGGATCCCCACCCCTGCTGCCGGAGGTGGAGAGGTGGCCCAGCGCCACTGGCCACGCTGCTCCTGCCCCCGCGGGCGCCGGAGCCTCCAGGTTCTAGGGACCCAAAGCTCTTGACTTCAGATAGCGACAACTGAGAGTGAAGGGAGGCGGAGAAATAGTTTGAAGGACTGTTTGTATACCTAGTTTCAAAGTATTTGGGAGGAGAATTAAACATTTACTTGTTTCGGTTTGACTCTGGTTAAGCGCGCTCCGGACTGCGGTAGCTGCAGGAGGAAGGTGTGTGCGTGAATGGGGGTGCGGGAGCGGCGGCGGCGCCGGACCGGGCGGGTCAGAGAAAGCACAGGGCTGTGTGGAGCGGGGGCTCCCTCCTGCGAATCCTCCTGGAGGGCGGTTAGCTGTAGCGGACGCTGTGTCCCCATCCCGAACGCTGTGTCCCAATTCTGGATGCTACGGCGTCCTCGACCAGAAGCGCCCCTTCCCTGGCACGTGTGGGCGCTTGTGACTGTGTGCGGTTCGGGGGGGTTCGGAGCCTCAGGCTCAGATGCCCGTGCATTCCCAGTCCCCTAAAACCCCCACAGCCGAGCTGCAGCTGCTGCTTTGAAGGATCGACCCCAATAGAAAGCGTCTACACCACCTTTCCCAGGCCGAGAGCTGAACGTCCGAAGCCCTTGGCCACTCGGCCGCCCTCTTTCCAGTCTGCTACGGCCCAAGGCTCCTCTCAGATCATTGTCCAGGTCCCCAGCTCGGTGCCAGCCCCCTGCTACCCTGGGTCGATGACATTAGTTCTCCAAAGACTGGGACAGGGCGACCTTTCTTTTTCTGAGCCTGTGCCTCTCTCACCTCCCCAACGCGCTCCTCGCCCCGCAACCCAGCAGTCTGGTTAATCCGTGACGGGTTGGCAGCCGCGCTCTGCCCCGCGACACGGAGGGCACTTCCTCGCGGCGCCTCGTGAGCAGCATCTGCAGGTCTCTGGCGCCGGCTCTGGGGCGGGGAAGGCATGCAGAGAGGTCCCCGCGGGCTCCAGCAGCTCCCGAGGTGCTCGCGGAGTCCGCGGTGGGGGAGACCCCGTGGCTCCCTGGAAGCTGGGTGGCGGTGGGAATAACCCAGATTCCCGCGGTGCTTGTCGTCTGGCCCCCTCGCCACTCGTGCTCCCGGAAGACGCCGCTAGAGCCTCAGCATCGACTGGCTACCATCTGTGGGGTGGTTAGCACGTTTGTGGACTAGTCAGCACCCTTTCCTTGTCTAAATAAACCCAGTGCCCTGGAGGTGGGAAAGATGGAATCCGATCACCTGTAACGGCTTTGCGTAAACTGTCAGTGACCCGGCATGAGGCCACGCACGCACGCTTCCTCTTCTCTGATTGCGCAGCACCCAGCACCGCCCTTGGGTTCCTGAAACCTCTCTGGGAAACCGGTGACTGTCCCAGGGCTGCGGGTAGAGGGAGTGTCATCACAGGATTCACGTCTTGCCATTGGGGCCCTGAGAGGGCTGTGGCAATAACCAAGGATGTGTCCCCTAGACCCTCATCTGATGCCTTGCACGTGGCAGGCTGGTCAGTAAGCATTTACTCACTCGGTTATTTTCCCCAAGCGGTAGGGAGTAATACCTGTGCTTTCCCTCACCAAGATGTTCGTGGGATAATGGATGGAATGGCCCAAGTGATATCAGCTGTTGGCAAGAAAAAATAGGCAAACTCAAGAACAATGCGTAAGTAAATTTCTTGCAGTCCGTCCTGTCTTCTCTTGGGTCCTTTAACACCCTCGTTGTACTAGGGATGATTTATTCAGAGAACTACCAAGTTCACGGGCTCAGAGTGAGCGCTGCACTTGCTCTGCCCCTTTCTCCCTACTGCATGCAGTCCTGGGCGCTTTCGACCTTGCCCTTCGCAGCATCAGCATCTTCACTTTCCTTAGATCGTTTCCACGCTTATTCATTTTGTCTCCTCTTTCTGCCGTTTTTCTTCCTATTCTTTTTTCCATCTGTGGCTTTCCATCACTTCTCGCTCTTCCATTATTTAGTGTAGTCTGAGAATGAATATTCTAAACCAACTCTTTAGGCAGCAATAGAGTGAGGCATACCTGGATTTCAGGGTGAAGTCCCTGGAAAATTATCAAAGGACTAATGACTAATGATGATGATTGAAAGCTTACTGTGTGCCCCCACGCTTCTAAGCAGTTTACATCTGTTGACTTATTTAAGCCTCACGACGACCCTGACAGGAAGATACAATTAGCGCCGTTAAATGAGGAAGCTGAGGCACGGAGAGGTTGCCCCACTTAAAATGCTCATAAGGGTTGGAGCTGGAACAACCAGAAGTTGGGGGTAGTTCACCTTCATAATGCATGCGCTGGAAACTGTTGGCTAAATAAGCGCTCCTTACTTCAATTCTCAAGAACAGCTCTTCAGGCCACTTGGGAATTGAGATCCTGAGGGATGGGAGCTAGCTGTGTCTTCCTGAGTCTCCTGGGAAGGGCTAGGTGAGGAATCAGCCCCAAAGCCTTCCCACTCCATCCCCAGGGCTGCCTAGAACGGCAGCCCTAAGAGCCTGGGGGCGGGGGGATTCATGCTGCCCGCTCCAGGAGAAGGAGCGCAGGTCAGGCGGGAAGCCAATTCTTAACTTAGAACGGAAGTGATAATGGCTTGTGATACAGAGCATTAGAGCCCTCAGGCGACCCTGAAAACACGTGGAGCCGCGACTCTAACTCACGGCTACAGAAAACACTTCGCTGAGGCGCTGGCCAAGGTGAGACACAAGCTTCCCAAACCAGACTGTGCTAGCTCTGATCTGGGGCGGGCACACGCCTTCCAGGGACTCCGAGGGGCGGAGGAGGCCTCCCCGAGAAAGCCCGCATCACGGGAAATGGTTCTTGAGTCTTCCATGATGAGCCTGAGGGCCGATTGAAGCGGAACGAGAGCCAGCTGGGAGTGGTCCAGGGTTCCGAGAGGAAAGACGGTGCTCTCGCGCGCACAGCCACCTAGAGGGAGGCCTTGACTCGGGCTGACTTGGATCCAGTCCATCTAAGAGGGAGTTCTTAGGGACCCCCTCCTCCCCAGAAAATGACTTCTGCTCTGGCCGGCCGCAGGAGGGAAGCAGGTGAGTCAGTAGAACCACAACTTTGGGGGCTCCTGAGAAGCGGTTGAAAGCAGGCCGAGGCGGGGCGCGGCGCTAAGACTGCGGGGGCGGGCGGGGCTGAGTCAGGCGAGGTCCCCAGGGGGGCAAGCGGATTGTCCCCAACGCTGTGGAACCCCTGCTGAGACCCTCCGCTGTCTCAGTGATCCCCGAGCTGCGCGGAGCAGGCCACCTCCTCCCCCGTTCCCACCGGCCTCCATCAGTCACCGCCCTCCCCCCGCTGGGCAGCAGCTTCAGGTTTTGCGTTTTTCCCCTTGTAGAGGAGTCTCTTCCTGCCACGAGGGTTTAGTGTCCACAATGCACGCCACAGCTCTCGGCCTCTGGTGGCGATTTCTCTCTCCCGCGGCGACGCGGGGGACTTAGGGCTCCGCCTGTCTCCGGAGCCACGAGATCCAGAGGCGGCCGCAGCTCCGCGGGGCCCTCCTCGCTCTGTGTCCTGGGGCCCCATGCCGCGGCCCCAGGTCGGTCCAGGCTGTTCATCCCTCGTGGGTTTCCCGCTCCCGGAATCCGATTCTGTCCCTTGCAGGCAAGAGCTTCCACCTCTACTGCTCCGGAGGGCGACCGGGGCTGGTGCGGGTGACACTAGGCGGGAGGACTGGGAGAGGCCCCTAGGGAGGGACCGGCTTTGCCAAAGTCAGCAACTGGAAGAGGCGGCCCCACTGTTTTTACTGATCTCAAACGTTTAGTTAATATTTGGGGAGATGGGACTCGTCGCATCAGGGAAGAGAATCTCTAACCGTCCCTCACCGCCGCCCCAGCTGGAATCCCGCGAGGGGAGGGAGGGCCTCGCGGTCCTGCCGGATCTCCGCCAGATTCGTCGGTTAATTGAGAGTCTTTGCAGAGCCCGAGAGCCCGCGTGTGAGAAGCGGGGACAGCCGCGTCCTCCCGCGGGCGGTGTGCGTAGGGCCATCACGGTGCGGGCCCAGCCGCTCCGGAGGCTGCAGCATTTGTCTGGTGTGTTGTCTTTGCCACCCGCGCACCCCCCCCCCCCACACCTCCGGCCCCAGCCCCAGCCTCAGCCCCAGGAGGCCGCCAGGAAAGACTTTCAGGGATGATAAGATGAATGAGAAGTTGGCACCTCCTCTGCGCTCAGGAAGCGCGAACCCCTCATCGGCCAGCGTCCTAACCCGCCTGGGAAACGGGAGGCCGACGGTGCGCTTTGTGCCAATGTCGTCCCCTTAATTGGGAACTGGCTCTAATAATCTGGCCTCAGCTCGTTAACTACATTAGTGGGCAGAGTTAATGACTCATTAGTGATTAATTCCTTAACTGTGCTTTAATTGCTCACTATAAAAGCCCTTTCGTAAAACTGGATTAAATCATCTAGATCCTTGGCCAAATCTCACAGCCCTGGAGGACCCCGGCGGTGCTGGGTTCCACCCCCACCACTTCTCATCTTGGGCAGGTCAGCCTCATATGCACAGGGGTCGCGTCACCCGACAGCCTAGAAATCGAAAGATCTGTGGTCCAGTCGTGGCCGTGGCATTGCCTAGTCCTGTGACTTTAAATGGGACCCTCTGTAAAAGCTAGATCTCCAAGATCTCCCCTTCTCCCTCATCACCCCACCATTAACGCCTGAAATCTAACACCTCATCTTGGCATCCGCTTTCCTCTGCACTGTACTAGGTATCAGCGTGTGTTTGTATTAGTAGGTTCCGAATGAATTGTGTACAAGGCTGCCTTCCTGTCAAAAGTTGTCTGATAAAGGCTCTTTCCAGTCCTAACAGTGGCTGGATTCTACAGTCTTTCCATTTGTACTTAAAAAAAAAAAAAAATTGGACCTTAGCTTTTTTTCACCTTCTTAATTTCCTTGTGATCTTTATCCATTCTGGAGACTCACAAGGCCTGGTGGGCGTGTCATGATGGATAAACACGAGTCTCCACCCTCTAGGAGCATGACCTAAGTAGAAGAAATAAGGACACAACCGTGCATATGTTTTCAAATGCCTACGGGCTTTCTCCACCTGGTCCCATATCCACCAAAACTACATGCGTTCAAAACAAAACGTATTAGTCTTTACTCTATGGCTCCCTGAAAACCTCCTTAAAACTCTTTTCCCTCTTTCTG